CAGGACAGCGAGGAGCCACCGGGCCTACGTCCTCACACACATGCTGTTTGGTTGAGGAAAACTGTAACTACTTGGGTTTTTTACACTTGATGGCCTACACTCATTATTTCAATAAATCTGCTGCCGTCTCTAGGATGAAGGAATTAACCCCTTAAGCCCTAGGGTCCCCCAGGTGAGGAACGCTGTGATGTTAGTTCCTTAACGGGGCCAAAAAACCCTCACACTACAGAAGAAATAGTAATACTTCCCATCAAATTAATCAGCAAGCCCAGCACTACAAGGCTATCTAAACTATTTTTACCATTAAATACAATTTTTATCATTTTTTGAGGAATAGGCTTTGAAATGGGCCTAGGGCTGCCTCGTGAGTCGCTTTCCGTGGAACAAAAAGCTCTGGCGCCCCTGTTTCAGGAAGTAAAATTTATTTGGGGTTAGGGGATTTGGAGTCTTCCTCGTTAATATTCATAAAATGCAGAAATCTTGCCTCTGATTGGCTAACAGGACTCCTCTGCTGCCTCTGTTTATTCCTCTGTCTTGGGTAAGCAATGCAAGGTTGGTATTTTATCTCAGAGATGACACAGGTCTGAACATGTTCCACCATAATGTTATTGCTATTGCTAAAGGTTTATCTCTACTAACCGAGAAGCACTCTGCCTACCCCCGGCTCCTACATCAATGCAGCGTTCTGCAGTCCCAAGCCAAGATGGGTGAGTCCATGAATGCAAATCTACATCGTGACGTAGATCCGTGAGGCTTTTCCTAGCCCAAGTGTTCCTCGTCTATCTTCTTTCTGCAGCTATTTCAGCCAATAGGGGTTGAAGACTATTTTCACGTTCAGCCTGCGTGTGAAACTCAGTGACATATTTTATAAAGAGCAAGTATTACACTTTTTTCAGTGACCCTCCTCTTTCATGCAGTCAGAAAGTTTCTCAATTGTGTTTCATTTTGTTTCCAATCTGGTCACCAACCGTTCCCAAAGATGATTTGCATTCCAGGCACAACGGTTAAGAAAGGTTTTCGGAGAGATGCAACTACTCTGCAACTATAACGAGAGATTTGTCAAGAGAATAAAATTAATACAGAAAACGTAACGGCAACACTAGAGTGAGGCCTTGCACCTCTCGCAACAAATATGAGAAGCTTTGAGATCATTTCGATGCATTTTAGAAACTCCTTTGCAAATGTCGTTTTACATTTTCTTACCTAGTGAGATAAAATGCAACGATTCTTATTGTTTGTTTGAACAACAAAAATAAACGGTCAAACGAATTTTTAACTCTTCAGTTGGACATAAATGTTCAGCATATTGTCACGTTGTGTCTGAGCTTCAGAAGGCTGCTAGTTCATGTCTGTTTAACACGTCTGCACACAGGTTTAATACAAGTTTTTTTTTTCTTTTGGGGGTTTTAACGACATGGTGAAGAAGAAGAAAATATCATTTCTATAGCGCCTCTCAAGATAAAAATCATGAGGCGCTTCACAAAAATAAAAAATGTAAAAATATAAAACAGCATTTAGAAAATGTTTAAAAATATATTTAAAATGAGCAAAAATAGACAATTGGGATTTAAAAGAAAAAATGTTAATAAAGAGAGAGTGAACAGGAAAGAGGGAAATCAGTGGATCCTGAGGAAGGTGGAATAGGTGGGGAGAGCAGAATAAAGAGAGAGAGGTGAAGAAGGTCATACAAAAGCCAGCTTGAACAAGTGAGTCTTCAGCTGCTTTTTAAAGGAGACCACTGAGTCCACTGATCTCAGGCTCAGGGGGAGAGAGGTCCAGAGTCTGGGGGCCACAGCAGCAGGTGATCTGTCACCTTTGACCTTTAGCCTGGTGCTGCACAACCAGTAGGCTTTGATCACTGGATCTCAGGGACCTGCTGGGGGTGTAGGGACTAAGAAGATCACCAATGTAAGATGGTGCTTGTCCATGTAAGGCCCTATAGACCAGAACCAGGATCTTGAAATGAACCCTGAAGTTGACTGGCAGCCAGTGAAGCTGGAGGAGAAGCGGGGTGATGTGGGTGTGTTTGGAGGACTTGGTCAGAAGCCGAGCACAGGCGTTCTGAACCACCTGTAGACGGTTCAGGGAGGTTCTGCTCAGACACGTGAAAAGAGAGTTACAGTAGTCTAAGCGTGAGGAGATGAAGGTGTGGAGAACTGTCTCAAGTTCAGAGTAGGGCCTGCACGACTTTATTTTTTTTAAAGTCGACATAAGTAATGAAAGTCGAGTCGACTTCGACTAGTCGTTGATGACGTCATACGCCGGAAGCGGGGGGGGGGGGGGGTGTCCGTCGGTAGGTTCGCTGGAGTTTTTGACAATTAAAATTGCGCCCACATTTTCTAACACATCTCTTTTAATAACGGTAGTTTCTGCATCCTACTTCAGTCCTCTCCCCCCTCCCCCTGCGCAGCGGCCGCAAACTCACTGATGCGCCTGCAGCCTCTCGGAGTTCCTGCTGCTCTAAACATTAAAATAATTATTTCATTTTCTGTTCCTCACTTCTGATTACCTTCAGTGGTGTCTGTTTGTTGCAACCAACAGGTACAAAAACAAACTTGTTTTTATTTGACTATTTTTCTGGCCTGCCTGTTTATTATCTTCCTGCATCTCCTCTCAGTCCTAAAGAAAAACTGCTACCTGGGTTCATATATATTCACCTCATGAGTTACCTTTGAACTGCAGTTCTAAAAAGATCTACCGACCGCAAAAACAACGGAGTGCCGCTGCTCGCCGGCCGACTACAACGGGACCGTTTTTGCTGCGGAGTTCGTGCCGGAGCGGAGCGGAGCGGAGATAGTGGAATCTTGGGGGTGCGTCACCGGAGAACAAAACTGGTTAAGAGCCTCGCTCCGCAGCAGCGAAACGCATCAGGCACAAATAACAGACAGAAAACATGAAAGGAAATGAGCCGACATGAACGATCGCGTGTTTAATTTGTTTTTGAGGTGGTGACACCTGATTTGGCAGTGCTCAGGACGCAATGTCTGGAGCGCACGTCAACAATCAGAGCTTTGCATGCATAAACTGGTTAAGATTAGGATGGGGGTGAGGGGAAGGTTAAATTGCAAGAGGGAAAAGGTCACAGTTTGGTTAAATGTCCGTTTTACCGCCGGTGTCAGTACCGCTCAGCGCGTTGCCTCCGCCTCGATCCAGACGCGCAGGGGCTCATCACCTGCTGTCTTTTCCGAGGACTGCATCTTGTCAGTCATTATCACGTGACAGCGACTAGTTGATGACAGGCATAAAAAGTCCCTACAGAGCCGTGAAGTCGACTAGTCGACTAGTTCGTACAACCCCTAGTTCAGAGCGGGACAGAATGGGACTCAGCTTAGCAACGTTCCTGAGATGGAAGAAGGAAGAGCCAACAAGAGAACTGACATGAGAATCCAGGGTGAGAGCTGGGTCAAAGGTCACGCCAAGATTCCTGACAGAAGGTTTGGTGTGGGAAGCAAGCTGACCAAGAGAGTCTCTGACTTTGGGAACCAGCTTGTCTGCGGCACAGATGAGGATCTCAGTCTTATCTTCATTCAGCTGAAGAAAGCTCCCACCATCCAGGTTTTGATAGAGTCTAAGCAGGTGTGTAACAGCTGCAGCTTAGACATCTCATGGGGCTTAAAGGAGATGTACAGTTGGATGTCATCTGCATAAAGATGGTAGGAGATTCCTTTGAAGGAGCTCAGGACGTGCTGAAGAGGAAGCAGATAGAGGAGGAAGAGCAGATGCCCCAGCACAGAACCTTGTGGGACACCATGGGTAAGAGAGGTGGTGGAGGACCTAAACTTGGGGACGGCCACAGAAAAGAAGCGCTCAGAGAGATGAGAGGAGAAACCCTCCAGAGCAGATCCTGATAGGCCTACCCAGTCTCTCAGCCTCTCCAGTAGCAGGTGATGGTCAACAGTGTCAAAGGCTGCAGTCAGGTCCAGCAGGACCAGAACAGAACAGTCCCCTGCATCACTGTGAGTCAGAAGGTCATTAGAGACCCTAAGAAGAGCTGTTTCAGTAGAATGAGCTCTACGAAAACCTGACTGGAAGCTATCATAGATGTTATGTTCATCAAGAGCAGCTGTGAGCAGTTGGTAGCCTTGTGACCTCACACCAGGGAGGTTGTTGGTTCAAATCCCAGCTGCAGCCTTGCCTTTACATAGTTGTACTCTGGCAATTTACGCGTGGGTTTTCTCCAGTTCTCCAGTTTCCTCCCACAGACCAAATCATGCACGTTAGGTTAATCAGCAGCATTGCTAAACCCACAACAGGATGTTGCTTTGGTAAAAGGATTTTGGTTAATGTGCAATCTGAAGATTTATGATTTGATTTTGTTGATTTATTAAATCTTAAGATCTTTTTACGTTTTCAAAGCTTCGCATCCAACTTTCAGACCAAACTCTGGATAGTTTTGATGTCATTTTCCTCACACAGACTATGCATTTTTATTTTTTGTAGTAGAAACAGAAATGTTTGTTGTCTGTATGTTTTTGGGTTGTTTTCCATAAAAGTGGAAACAGAATTTTCGAGAAGAAGCCAGGAAGGCTTTCTCCTCGGCTACACACGGAAAGTGCGACCGACCTCTTCCTTTCTCTCTCTGCCCTTCTTGATGTCATCGCCCTGCTGTAACCCAGTGTCTGATTAACCAGCGTCATCCTGCTTGTGAACCACACTTCCTGTTCAACCACGCACACATAGCACTGACGTGAGAACAGTTACAGAGTCTTTCCTTTCTTACACTTTATTGGTTTTTTTGTTGTTCTTTTTTCCAATAACAAGAAGACAAAAACATTGTATATAAAAATTGTCATACGTGAGGAAGCCTCTCTCTCTCGCTCTCTCTCTCTCTCTCTCTCTCTCTCTCTCTCTCTCTCTCTCTCTCTCTCACACACACACACACACACACACACACACACACACACACACACACACACACAAAATACAAAACTTCATTCATAATTCACCCAAAAGTGATAATAGTGTCTACTAACAGCAATGTACAAAAATATATATGTAAAAAAAGTTTATATCAATAAAAAAGTGGTTTGTAGATTAAAAAATAAAAATAACCTCCTTCCGGCAAAAGAAAACCTGTTCTTACAAACTGGAGCTACCCTGCAAACAGTCAACGTCACAATGACGTGTAGATCGCGTCCGTCGGTCCAGATCGCGTCTGTTGGATGTTCAAACTGGGTCTTTGCACAGTTCAGTTAACTTTAGCACAAAACAATTATGACTTTAAAAAATTGTTCTAATAAAGATGTTTTATAAGTGGTGTATGATAAAATATTCACTCAAGCTACAGCTACGTAGCTGGAGCTGCAATAAGCTAGGCTAAGCTAGCCAGCGGTTATATCCTCCATTTGAAGGTCTTTATTATGTTTCAACTCTACAAAAATTTAACAAGTATGTGATGCAAGATTGTTCAGGCTGGGAAACCTTTTCACTTTCTTCATATAGAAAGAACTAATGACCGTGTAGCTAGGTGGCTATCTTTAGCACAAAACTGACCGTGTAGCTAGGTGGCTTTAGCACAAAACTGACCGTGTAGCTAGGTGACTATCTTTAGCACAAAACTGATCGTGTAGCTAGGTGGCTATCTTTAGCACAAAACTGACCGTGTAGCTAGGTGACTATCTTTAGCACAAAACTGACCGTGTAGCTAGGTGGCTATCTTTAGCACAAAACTGATCGTGTAGCTAGGTGGCTATCTTTAGCACAACACTGATCGTGTAGCTAGGTGGCTATCTTTAGCACAACACTGATCGTGTAGCTAGGTGGCTATCTTTAGCACAAAACTGACCGTGTAGCTAGGTGGCTATCTTTACCACAAAACTGACCGTGTAGCTAGGTGGCTATCTTTAACACAAAACTGACCGTGTAGCTAGGTGGCTATCTTTACCACAAAACTGACCGTGTAGCTAGGTGGCTATCTTTAACACAAAACTGACCGTGTAGCTAGGTGGCTATCTTTAACACAAAACTGACCGTGTAGCTAGGTGGCTATCTTTAGCACAAAACTGACCGTGTAGCTAGGTGGCTATCTTTAGCACAAAAGGTAAATGGTGTAATTTCCTGATCTGTGTCCCATGAAATTAAATTAAGTTGCTTAATCTTTTTTTCATTGGTTTGGACTAAAATATGATGTTATAAAATTCGAATAGAGCTATGCTAGGTTTTTTTTTCAGCTTGTTTCTGAATTTGACTGCATACGAGTAACCCTAAAGTCTGCCCCACTGTTCTCTTCATTACAATCACCTCTGCTGTCAGTTTCATCTGCCTGATGTGTCTGTAAAACATTAAAATATGCAGTAATAACAAAAAGATCCGGTAATTACTGGTTAAACAACACAAATACATAAACTCACAGGCACGTGAAAAACAGGGATAATAATAATAATAAAAAAAACTTGTCTTTGTCTTATGTACAAAGCTGTCCATGTTTGCCTGTTTGTCCCAGAGATGTTTGCATAGTTTCAAAAGTCACTTTAATGGCTGCTGCCAGGTCACTCCTGCAGGCTGCTGCTGTGGTGGTGTGACACAGCTCTCTGGTAGTCTTCGGTGGCATTTATGTGCTCCGTGACCCCCAGGTGCTCGTAGCTGCGGTAGTAGTGGCCACTGGTCTGTTGGGCGTAGCACAGCAGCTGCCGGGCAAACAGCGGCTCCACCTGCAACACAGACGTTTGCGTTAAACTTTACCGTGTTGCCATTATTCAAATGGTCTTCAAAGGGAAATAATGTCATTTTAAGCTCAAGTTTAGCCTGCTTAACAACTTAAAGTTAAAGTCCCATTAGTTGTGATATACTGGTGACATTTTTTCACAGTTGACCCATCCCCTGGGGGAGCAGTGAGCTGCAGACACGGACACGCTTGGGAACCATTCGGTGGTTTAACCCCGCTGTCGAACCCCTGGGAGGCATTGGGTCCCATTGAACCCGTCTCAAGGCAGACACTCATACCACTAGGCCACTGAGCTGGTTTAAAGTAGGGTTTCCAAACACTAGCATCTTTAAAACAGCAAAACTGTTGTTTTAAAGTCATTTTCTAATTAAATATGTGGTTTAATCTTTGCTAAACATCGCTAGCTTGAATGTGACTGCTTGCTTTGTTATGAATGGCTTTGGCAGGATCTGAATCCAAATGTTTAAATAAGAATTATGAGAACAGAGGTTTAGCAGCTGGACATTTCCTCTCCTGTGCTAGCTTTCACTCAGTTTCGCTACAGAGATCGAACGTGTGTCCGCTGAAGTCTGGAAACCTGCTGGACTTCTTCAGAAACTATATTTAGTTTTGAAACAAAGCGTCCACGGTGACTGAAGAAGTTCCTGCAGACTTTCAAATCCCTTTTCTCAGTATTCAAATTGTAATTCAAAGTTCTGACGCTTAACCTTCCACCCACATTCATCGTTTTTGATTTGTTTATTTTTTAAGCTCAGTGCCCTGCCATAGATAAGTTAACTAAGTGAGGAGGGGGCGCCAGTCACCTGGACAGTGAGGGTCCGTCTTTGTCTTTGCGGGTCCAGGCACTCATCTCCAAAACTCAGCAGGACCTGGAAACGGGACGGCGGCTGACCATGGAGCCCAAAACTCTGGATCTCTGGTCGAACGAGAACACGATATTAGATCTGATGCATCTGACCAGGTGAAGACTTCAGGTGAATTTCTGGTGAAGTGGGGATGACGTTTTGGGTGAATCGAATGGAAAGTCCTGCTCACACTAGGTATGCAAATGTGATTAGCTGTCAGTCACAGCTGGGACTGTCGGCCTATGTGGGTGGGGGGTGATGCGGTGGAGTCATGTGACTGACAGCTTATCGTGAAACCGCCTGAGAAAAGGGCCTTTCTGTAAATGAGCTGGCACTTCTCAGATCAGCCAGAACTAACTCTGAGTTTGATCTGATCTCTGGCTTTAAACTTTTAAACGTTTGAACACTTTTCTCTCGTTTCTTCAAGTCTAAATAAAAAGTCATCTGTTAGAATCCCAGAAAACTTGATTGTGAAACGTTGTTTTTTGAGTGATCAGTTTGTTGTTGACGGTCTTGGCCTCATCTGTGTGCCTCACCTGTGAGGTAGTCCTGTGTGTGGAGAAGTTTACAGATGGCTTCTTTCTCCAACTTGTTGGGTTTGTCTCCATACGGCGATGGGCCTCCCTCCCAGTACACCCGGCTCTGACACATCCTGCGGGCGTAGAGTCCGTCTGCTCCCATCCACAGCTGGACTCCCTTCTCCAGCACGGACGGCGGACTCGGAGGACACTCATCGGCCCTCCTCTGGGCTGGCAGGCTGTCCACAGGCAGGGGGATGATTTCTGGGCTTCCGGGCGTCAGATAGTGCTTCTCCAGGGGACAGGGTGTGATGTGGCAGCCCTCCGGACTGGACGTGGTCACCTCCCTCACCAGAGTGTCCCGTAGATAAACCGACACGTGCAGACGGTAGTCTGGTAGGAGGAGGACAAGGACTTTGTGATGCTCGTCTTCCATAGTCCGGCAGATTTATTCGATCACATTTAGATTAAAAGATGAAAAGGAACCACGTGTTCTCTGGCCAGGAACATAACCGAGCTTACCCAAGGTGGATGTCCAATCGTTACAGACATGTCAAGAAAAGATGCTATTTTCAAAAGTTTAAGTTGTGTGTCTTAAACTAGCCAGAGCTACGGATGAAGGAGCACCACGGTTTAGTTCCTTCATCTAGTTTGAAACAAAACATCGTGTTTTTTTAATTGGAAGTCAAGGTTCAGACTGCCTCGTCGAAAAAAAGTGTAAAAGTTTTATCTCTGTAAATGTCACAACGTCTGTCTGGATTTGGGATAGTTGAAACATCTTTGGAGCTCCTTTGATCTGCTTTTATTTTTAGGATGTTTACCAGAAACCCCAAAATTTGACCTGTTTTTTTTTATATTTGATAGCCGCGATCGTTTGCTTCTGTCTGAAATGCTCCTGTCTCTTTAAGAGACTTAATCAGATCTGATTGGTTGAAAACAGAGGAGCAAATCCAACTGCTCTTCTATATTTTGGGGTCTTGGGGGATGGTACGAGAAAAAAACGAGAAGCCGATGTTGCTCATCAGCAGCGTTTTTATTTAGAGGGAATATATCCTTTAGTTGAGAAGTTCTGGATCATTTTACTGACGTTAACGCTTAAATTTCATCAGAAGGGCACGTGTGTGTGTGTGCGTGTGTGTGTGTGTGTGTGTGTGTGTGTGTGTGTGTGTGTGTGTGTGTGTGTGTGTGTGTGTGTGTGTGTGTGTGGTAGTTGGACACCTTAATACTTTGTGGGGTTATGTCAGACACACCCTTGGCGTTTTACCTGACAGGGCTTCTGCTGATCTGATGCTGGCATCCAGAGAGAACGGGGAAGGCTGGCTGTTTGCAGGACCGTAGGAATAAATGGAAGCCCTGAGCTGGTATCCTGCACAGGAGGAGGGACTCGTTAGGTAAAAGCCACATGTCGGACGTGCTGTAATGAGGACAGCTCACCGTTTTCCATGGATGCCGGTTGCCATGGCAGGCTCCGGGGGGGACAGGGACACTGAGGGAAGGACAGCTCAGGCAGAGACGCCTGCTCTGGACAGTAGTCCCTCCAGCTGCACTCTGGACTTTGCATGTACTGAGACATCTGCACACAGACACAAACATGCAGATGGTGCCTCTGACAGGTGATGCACAAGTCAATCTTTTGGGTTTTGGAGTCAGACACGAAGCTGCAGGCCATGAAAGCAGCTATTTGTCAGCTCCTTCATGCATGAAAATAAGATCCGGTTCATGCAGCAGCATGTCTTTTTTCGTGCTCCTGAAGCCCCGCCCCTTTCATTTCCCTGCATATGAAAATTACCTGGTTGGGCACGGCGGGGTAGGAGGGGTGCATCTGGTAGCTGCCTGGACTCAGCGGACTGTCCTCCTGTCTGGGTCCTGCAGGTGAGACAGAGACATGTGTAAAACTCCCATCAGCTGATCTAACAGCATCCCCACACCAACACCGACTGACTTTTCTTGGCGCCCTCGGGGATGATGCGGTAGACCTTGTAAGGATCAGAGATGTCCAGCTGGCTCCGCTCCACAAGCTCCTCAAAGTCGTTGCTCTTGTTGAGGGCGCAGCGCAGGCGCGTCTTCCAGGTGGGGGGGTCCGGCTTATCAACGCCCTCCCGGAACTTGCCCTTAAACAGCGCCCAGGCCTGCGCAAGGCACGCCGGGAGGACAAGAGCTGATCACTTGTGCAGAAGAAAGTACTTGAAAATAACTTATTGGATATTTCGCAGGGAATTTAACAAGGGCGCCCCCAAGGGGTGGCCAGGGGTGGCCAGGTAAAGCCAGGGAAAATAAATAATATTATCGTTAAGTCAAACCATATATTGATCTTGTTTATTCAAGACATAATTGTAAAGCAAAATAAAAAATATTACAATTAATGAGTAAAGAAATAATCAGAATAAAAAAACACATTTCTGCTGCTCACCATTTAAAAAAAGTTTTTATCTCCATAGTGTTTTGTGTGAACACAGCAACAGGTGAATTAAACTAAAAAAATACATTTTTAAATTAAATTATGGATAACATTTTAAATAACTGAAATTTATTTTTCTAAAATATTTGTGTTTGTAAAATTTAAGTTAAATGTTTTTTTGTTTTAATAAAAATGAATAAAGGCGCAAAGCAGCACATCACCACAGACTGAATTCAACCAGAGTTACCACAAGGACCAATTTGGTGTGCCACCCCAAAAGTTTCTTTGGCCCCATCACGTCACCCCCATCAAAATTTTCTGGAAGCGCCCCTGGAATTTAACGGCGAATTCAACCCAAATCCTCTGATTTCCCTCTTTCCTACTCTCTCTCTCTCTCTTTCTTTACATTTTTAATCACAATTGTCTATTTTTTGCTCATTTTAAATATATTTTTAATCATTTTCTAAATTATTTTTTATATTTTTACATTTTTTGTGAAGCGCCTCGTGGTTTTTATCTTGAGAGGCGCTATAGAAAAGATATTTTCTTCTTCTTTTTAGTAAATTGTTCTGACCCTTTTAGGGTTTTTTTTTAGCGTCACAAAAGTCTGGATAAATGATTTAAATCCGATTCCTCTGCGTGTTTGGTGTAAAACTGTTACTTCGTTAGATAAATGTCTTTAATTGTTGAGGTTCAGTGAGAAAACTCGCGTTTGTCATCTTTTCGCGCGGAGTTTTCGATGCGCCTCTCGCGTCACTTACCTTGAAAAGCGCGGCATCCTCGTCCCGGTTGTAGTCCTGCTTCCCGGCGTGTTTCCACGGGATCCTGAAGATGGTTTTCTCGTCGTTCTCCCAAACCAGACCGGGATATTTCCCGCAGTCCACCTGCTCGATCAGCCACTGGCGCAGCTTCCCGTTGCCGCTGCTCCCAGAGCCTCCGTAATCCACGTCGGGGTTCATCTTTGGCCAAACGCACGCAGCTTCTCACACACTCACGTCTCTGAGTTAAAACTGAGAGTAAAAAGTTATGAAGTGAGAAGTCCAACCCACGCGGATTGGTGCGCTCTGGGAACGGATCGAAGTTTTCTTACCTGTGAAACTCGAAACTCCGACGAGTTTTGAAATCTGTCAGCCTCAGAAAGCCCTCATCATCGCAGCGTGCGCGCTTAAATCCTCCCAGCGAGCAGCGCGAGGGGCGGAGACGAGGAGGATGCTGAGGAGGACGCACCTGCCGCGGATGCGCTGCTGCGGCCGCGGCTCGTCTGCGCGCGCGCAGCGGGAGCTGCGGGGAAACCCTGCTACAAGTGCGGCACACGTGGAAAATCAGCGCGCGGGAGACAAAAACAGTTCTTTGAAATGAGAAAAGCTTTACGAAAAGTAGCTGCGGAGCGGTCCAGCGTGCGTGAGCGGCGCGCAAAAACTACCCGGAGGAGCCGGCGAGGTTAGAATAAACGAGCAGAACGACTCAGGAACGTTCAAAATGCCGAGAAATGATAACAATCACAAAAATAACCGATCAGGCACATTTTAACTCACCAAAATAATCAGAAAAATAATCTTAAATATGAGGATGAACACGTTTTAAATAAATGTAACATTTTAATCTCTTTTTCTCGTTTAATTCTCTTAACTGCTGCTGACAACATTCAGTTCATCAGCAGCAGCATTTCTCTAAAACCCGCATTTACTTCCATCTGTCCTGCTTTGTTTGTTTTCTTCAGCCACACGTGTGTCTTTATTTAGTTATCAGATAGATTAGAGTAAAATATCGTAATAAACCTGAAACTTAGAGGAAGCATCAGGAATAATAAACGCAAATTTAAAGACTTTCTAACTTTAAAAAAGACGTTTAGTTTCGCCTTTTGAATCTTAGATTTCTCTGCAGCTTTTTCTTCCAAACAAAACATTTTAAAAGGCTGTAATTCACGAAGAAAACTTCCACAACAATCAACTATTTTGGTAGATTTTGTAACTCAAAATTAAAGTTTGAGCTAAAATATTCACCTTTGCTTTAACATCAGCAGTGAGACTAAAATACAAAACAAGATGTCTCTCATCCTCAAATTTGTTTTTATTTCTTTATTCTTTTAAAAGTGCTTAAAAATTCAGTTTTGATTGATTGTAGCTCGCTGGGATGACGTAACATCAATGACATTTTAATTAAACAAACACAAACTCTCAGCTCAGGTAATTTATTCAAAACAAGAAAACAACAAAATCAAACTTCAAAGCACAGCTAAAGGAGAAACGTGTCTGTTTGACTGCTAAGTGAGGAGTTTCTGTGGCGTTTACAGAACGCAGCGCTCCTGATGTCAGAAGAGCCCAGCAGTAGGCGCCCAGCGGGGCGAGAACGCGGCTAAGTGTGTGTTCTGTGTGTCTCTGGGGTCACGCTTGGCTGCCCTTGCATGTTGTTTTGACAGTTAGAAGCACGATGAGGAGAGCCAACGACGGAGATAACACACACACACACACACACACACACACACACCGTTCAACAGAGGCTTTTCCATTCCGTCGTTCCCGTCATTCCAGCTCCTCTGGTCCTCGGCTCCCTGACTTCCACCCTGAACGGGTCTCCTCACGTTCCGGCCGTTCCCAGATCAGCAGCCGTGGCTGTGTCAGTCGCACTTCTGCCATTTGCAGATTTATGATTCAAAAGGTTCTGGATCTCGTCGTCGTCACTGAACGGGCTCTTCCCGAACCGCTCCGACCACCAGGCTCGATACTGGAGAGGGAAGGGCAGAAGTTACGTTAGGATTAGGGTTAGAAGGTTGCAGGTTCCAATCCCGGCCGTGAGGTCTTTCTGCATGGAGTTTGTGTGTGTGTGTGTGTGTGTGTGTGTGTGTGTGTGTGTGTGTGTGTGTGTGTGTGTCCTCCCACAGAACAAAAACACGCGTCAGGTGAACTGGAGACACCGAGTTGTCCCTACAGGTGGTTGTGTGTCTCTGTGATGGACTGGACACCTGTCCACGGTGTCCCCCGCTTCTTGCATGACCAGCTCCCTGCGACGCTACTGAGGATGAAGTGGTTAAGGAGATGAATGGATGAGTGACACTGATGAAAGACAGAAGAAACGAGCCCAAGGTGTTGATAAAAACAAAAATTCAATCTTTGATTAGTGCAAACCTTTAATAAACATCAAATCAGCAGAAATGTTTGATAACTTTGTCCTTTTTACAGTTTCACCTTTGAAATTCTGAGCTGATGATTGTTGTTTTGCGTGTTTCATGCAGGAATCTGACGGAACTAGAGCGGAGTCAAGCCCAGGTAAACAGGTGAGGTCACAAGCTTACAGAAAAGCATTTATATCATTATTTTGTATTTTTTGTGCTTTACTGCACAAACCCTTATGATGCACTCAGTAGTTTAACAAGACGCTGAAATGAAAACCTTCAGTTGCGTTTTTCTGTATCAGATGAATGGGCTGCGCAGTGGAGCAGCGGTTAGAGCTGCTGCCTTGCAGCAAGAAGGTCCTGGGTTTGCTTCCCAGCCTGGGATCATTCTGCATGTTCTCCCCGTGCATGCGTGGGTTCTCTCCGGGTGCTCCGGCTTCCTCCCACAGTCCAAAAACGCGACTGTTAGGTTGGTTGGTCTGTCTAAATTGTCCTTAGGTGTGTGTGTGTGGTGTGTGTGTGTGTGTGTGTGTGTATGGTTGTTTGTCCTGTGTTTCTCTGTGTTGCCCTGCAATGGACTGGCTCTCTGTCCAGGGTGTACCCCGCCTGATTACCCATTGACTGCTGGAGATAGGCACCAGCCCCCCCTGTGGCCCTACGTGGACAAGCGGGTTCAGAAAATGGATGGATGGATGGATGGATGGATGGATGGATGGATGGATGCATGGATGGATGGATGGATGATGGATGATGGATGGATGCATGGATGGATGGATGGATGATGGATGCATGGATGATGGATGGATGCATGGATGGATGGATGGATGATGGATGGATGCATGGATGGATGATGGATGCATGGATGGATGGATGGATGATGGATGATGGATGGATGCATGGATGGATGGATGGATGATGGATGCATGGATGATGGATGGATGCATGGATGGATGGATGGATGATGGATGGATGCATGGATGGATGGATGGATGGATGGATGATGGATGCATGGATGGATGGATGGATGATGGATGGATGCATGGATGGATGGATGGTTGGATGATGGATGATGGATGGATGCATGGATGCATGGATGGATGGATGATGGATGGATGGATGGATGGATGATGGATGGATGGATGGATGGATGGATGGATGGATGGATGATGGATGGATGGATGGATGATGGATGGATGCATGGATGGATGGATGATGGATGCATGGATGGATGGATGATGGATGCATGGATGGATGGATGATGGATGGATGGATGGATGGATGGATGATGGATGGATGCATGGATGGATGGATGATGGATGGATGGATGATGGATGATGGATGGATGCATGGATGGATGGATGGATGGATGGATGCATGGATGGATGGATGGATGGATGGATGATGGATGCATGGATGGATGGATGATGGATGGATGGATGATGGATGGATGGATGGATGGATGGATGGATGATGGATGGATGATGGATGCATGGATGGATGGATGGATGGATGGATGATGGATGGATGGATGGATGGATGATGGATGATGGATGGATGATGGATGGATGGATGGATGATGGGTGGATGGATGATGGGTGGATGGATGGATGGATGGATGGATGATGGATGGATGGATGATGGATGGATGGATGGATGATGGGTGGATGGATGGATGGATGGATGGATGGATGATGGATGGATGGATGGATGATGGATGGATGGATGGATGATGGATGGATGGATGATGGATGGATGGATGATGGATGGATGGATGGATGGATGGATGGATTGATGATGGATGGATGGATGGATGGATGATGGATGGATGATGGATGCATGGATGGATGGATGGATGGATGATGGATGGATGATGGATGATGGATGGATGATGGATGGATGGATGGATGATGGGTGGATGGATGGATGGATGGATGATGGATGGATGGATGATGGATCAGATGAACAAGCTTAAGTTTTGTCGCGTTTCAGAAAACGGTGACACCTTCATGCGTTTAAAACGACTCACCTGTGCGAGCTCCGTGTTCTGGAACTCCTCCAGCTGACGCAGGAAGCCCAGGTTGGGCCCGGCGCAGGGCCGCGCCGCCCTGACGGCGCCCAGGGCCTGGACCCAGCCGCGCCCTGTCACCGTCATGATGTAGGCCACCACCAGGGTGACACTGCGGGATACCCCCGCCACGCTGAGGACACAGACCCCCACAGTGAGTGACTCCTCCTCGCACGCAGCTCTTTGAAGAAGTGAAACCCGTTTGCTGGTTTGATATGAGCAGAGATGAAAGCTGGAGGAAATCTTCATCGAACGTTTGAAAGAAAACAGCCGAGTGGCGGCTTGTCTGGTGTGGCTTAAAATGAGAATTAGATGAATAAACCACGAGGATCTCCCCTCTGTGGCCAAATAGTAAAAGAAGTCAGAGTTTATTCCTTTCTTCAACCTTTTATTCCCATAAAATCTGAGGCCTAGCACAAAGAAATCCGATTTTTGATATTTTCTTTTCCTGAAACCTCCTTTCAGGCCTTTAAAACTCAGTTTGAACTTGAAGTGGTCCTCCCGTCTAGATGACTGTAACACACTCGTCACATATTTTAACAAAAAAGCCGCTGACCGCCTTCAGCTGGTCCAGAACTCTGCAGGGAGGCTCCTAACTGGAGCAAACAGAAGAGCACACATCACTCCTATTCTACTGTCTCTGCACTGGTTACCCGTTAATGGACGTAATTTTGGGGGGGACAGGGGGGACATGTCCCCCCCCCCCCCACTTTTTCCAAAGTCAAGTTTTGACCTCTGCACTTTTTACCATCCAAAAACAATATTACGCTAAATTAAATTGATACTGGTTGAGCTCTAGGACCAAGCGGAAAACAACCGTTTGTGTTGAAGCCTGTTTCCCATTAGAGCATACTGTAAAGATCCCCCCCCCCCCCAACTTCTAAAGTGAAAATTGCGTCCATGCGTTAACTTTAGAGTTCATTTTAGAATCCTGACTATAACTTTCAGGGCTCTACGTGGTCGAGCTCCTCCCTATATTACTGACCTGTTAAAGCTCTCAGGTCCACACCCCAGAACCTTCTAGAAGGTCCAAAGACCAGATATAAAAGTCGAGGTTTTGGAACGATCTTCCTTTGTCCTTACACAGCATTAACAGTCTGGGCACCGTTATTTAAAGCTGCTTTTACATAAATGTTTTATTTTCTTATTTCTAACCCAAGTTTGTAATCATCTTTCATCTGTTTATGAAATTTAATAATTTTATGACTTAATTTTTTCTGATCTAATTCTGTTCTGAGATCATTTTGATTTTATGATTTTATGTTTTATTTTCTTTTGATCTGCGTGAAGCTCTCTGTGATTCTGTCTGTGAAGAGTTTTACATGCATAACACGTTACTTAGTTTATCATCTTTAATCAAAGAAAATCACTGAAGGGTAAAGTTTTTGTGCTCCAATCCGTTTTCCGACACACCGATCCTGGTTCTGAGGGCCGATACCGATCACCGACTTTTGCTAAACGTGTTCTCACCAGTGCACGAGGCATCCTTCCCCCTTCAGCCGGGACTCGTGGATGAACTCAATGCTCTCTTTGAAAAACTGAATCCTGGTGAAACATCAACTCTTTATCAGACGAGAGGCTTTGGAAGTTAGAAACTCTCTCTGTAAAGCTGCAGAACATGAAGGAACGTGTGAAACAACCAGGAATACTCACAGGTTCTGCTTCGAGTGGTCGGCAGCGGGTATGCAGAGATACGTCATCTCCTGCGGAGAAACGCTGGTTTTAGACAACAGCCTGTTCAACACGTCTGCAGATGGAGCCCGTCCTACGGGCCTCATGTTTGTGACGGGACCTGACCTGAAACCTCTGGTCCCGTCACCGCTGCAGGTCACGACATGACCAAGTGTGTGTGTCTCTGTGTTTTACTGCTCTGCACACCTGGCAGCTGATTAAGTGGACAGAAACCACCTCGTCCCTGTATGACTGCACCAGTGCAACCCCCCCCCCCCCCCCCCCCCCCCGGGTCCTCTGGGACAGACTAAACCCTGGAAGTGCTCCAGACACTTTTCATAACCACCAGTACAAACACGGGCGTCGCTACCATCAGAGTTATTACCGGTTATTCAAATGAAGGCTGTTGGGTTGATGGAGACGGTTTCTCAGCTTTAGCGATCAATAATCGATCGATGCTCCAGAGATGCTGGTTTTCACTCCTGAGGCTTCGGTCCTGTTTGATAAGAGATGGTGCACCGTTGTCGTTTTGCTTTATGTTAATTTAAAGCCACGTTCTGACCTTAGAGACTTGGTTGTTGCAAATGTTGCCTTCCTCTCTCAGGAACCATAACGCTGTCTTCCAAGAAACCAATCAGTCAGCAGTTTGACTGTTGGGCATGCAAATAAACCCGGTCCATCTGGTCCACTTGGGCCTGAGTCATCGACAAGCCACAAACCACAAAAAAAAAGAAAGAAGCTGCATCATATTATTTAACACAAGAATAATCTCAGATTAAGGTGTCTGGGATTGAGAAAGCGCAGAACGGCTGCTGGCTGAGCTCAGAGCGCGCCTCCGGCCCAGACCTGCAACAGTTTTGGTGGTTGACCCGTTTGGGTAGTGATACTGGCTAATTTAGGTTTCTCTTCACTGTTCAATGAAACATGCTAGCATGGATGGAGAAAGTGCACAGAGAACTCTGAGAACTTTTCACGATCGCTTTCAACAAGAAAAGCTGAAAGTTGTGAAAGCGGCGCGAGGACGCCGGCGGATTCAAGGATTTCTACGACATCGAGATGAGAACAGATGGAGTGCGCTTAGATTAAACCCACCGAGAATAAGGAGAAGCACCTTTTTCTAATTCCCACGTCTAAGTGCAGCATTTTAAAGCATTTATTTCCACCTTCAGGCTGTAAGCTTCCCATGATGCATCTGCAGCTGCATCAGCTGAAAACAACTCAGGTTTCCACTGACGTCTCCGCGATATTCAGAAAACTGCATTCATGAAACCAGGTGGATTCCAGGTCCTGTGACTGACACTGGATTGAAAATATGAGCATGTGACTTTCAGAATAATTGAAGTGGTCTGTTTCAGGAGCCTCAGCCTCGTGAGAAGAATAGCTGATGGCTTCAGATGGCGGCAGCAGCTGTAAACCATAATAAACTCAGAGGAGACGACAGATGTTTCACACTTTCAGAATGAGTCCTGATCCACAGAAACAACCCAAAAGAATCCTGGGTACAAAGAATGTTGTGCTCTTTACAGCTGGGTGGATGTCAGGGGTCATGGGGGTCAACCTCAGATGCCCCAAAAGCAGCCGCCTCACCTCCAGGACGGGGGAGGCAGTGTCATGGATGGACAGGATGTGGGTGATGTTGTGCCGAGCCAGCAGCTCCCGGTCCCGAGCATCTGAGGATTGCAAAGAAAGTCAAAAAATTAAAAGTGTCTCCTGCACCGTATTGCCATGTCAACCCCCCCCCCCCCAAAAAACCCTAAACAAAGCCTATTCTGCCCGACAACAACCCCCCTCCCTCCTTCAAGGCCTTCCAAGCAAATATGACTTTTGCTCGTTTTGAACTGAAATTAAAACCGGAAAACCAATGTTTCTAAAAGAGGCCCACAGCTTGGCCCAAAAGCAAGAAACTGTAATTGTTTTAATCAAATTTGTTCTTTAAAAGGAAGCCAAATGTTTTCTGGCATGTACAGATGTGCTTTGAGCATTTTTTTTGTCATGCTTTGCAAGTTTGCAGGATGCTGTTATTCCAGTGGAGCCTGCACCGAGCCCTCTGACCAGATTATTATCACTATTACTATTTTATTTCACCACGTTCATTGTTTTTATGACACAAATGCATAGGTATAAAATATTAGGACTGTAAAATGGCTGTTCAGTCCACTCACACAGGCATTCACGATCCTCACAAATGTGCTGGTAACGACTCTTGATTCCTGTAGTCAAAAGTAGGATGACAAACTGACTCTTTAAAGTTAGAGATGATTTATTGTGTGAAAAATAAGAAATCTGAATGAGTAGCAACATTATGGTAAGCTGTTATTAGCTGTTATAAGATGTAATAAGCAGTTTTAAGTTGTTATCATCTGTTACTATTTGTTATAAGCTGTTAGAAGCCATTATTCACTTTTATTAGTTGTTATAAGTGGTTATAAGCTGTTAGAAGTCAGTATTAGCTGTTCTAACCTGTTATAAAATGTTGGAAGCTGCTATTTGTTTTTATCAGTGATTTTAAGTTGTTATTAGTTGTCACTGTTGGTTATAAGTCGTTAGAAGCCTTTATTTTGTTGTTATTAGTTGTTATAAGTGGTCATAAGCTGTTATAAGACAGTATCAGCTGTTATAACCTGTTGTTAAATTCTGGAGGCTGCTATTTGTTTTTATCAGTGATTTTAAGTTGTTATTAGCTGTTATTGTTGGTTATATGCTGTTAGAAGCCTTTATTAGTCATTATTAGTTGTTATAAGTGGTCATAAGCTGTTATAAGACATTATCAGCTGTTATAATCTGTTATAAAATGTTGAAGGCCGCTATTTGTTTTTATCAGTGATTTTAAGTTAGTATTAGCTGTTATTGTTGGTTATATGCTGTTAGAAGACTTTATTAGTCATTATTAGTTGTTATAAGTGGTCATAAGCTGTTATAAGACATTATCAGCTGTTATAATCTGTTATAAAATGTTGAAGGCCGCTATTTGTTTTTATCAGTGATTTTAAGTTAGTATTAGCTGTTATTGTTGGTTATATGCTGTTAGAAGCCTTTATTAGTCATTATTAGTTGTTATAAGTGGTCATAAGCTGTTATAAGACATTATCAGCTGTTATAATCTGTTATAAAATGTTGAAGGCCGCTATTTGTTTTTATCAGTGATTTTAAGTTAGTATTAGCTGTTATTGTTGGTTATATGCTGTTAGAAGACTTTATTGGTCATTATTAGTTGTTATAAGTGGTTATAAGCTGTTAGAAGACAGTATCAGCTGTTATAACCTGTTATAAAATGTTGGAAGCTGCTATTTGTTTTATCAGTGATTTTAAGTTGTTATAATTTGTTATTATTGGTCATAAGCTGTTAGAAACAGTTATTAGTTGTTATTCGTTGTTGTAAGTGGTCATAATCTGTTATTAAAGGAGACTCAGAGGTCTCCTTTAAAAAGCAGATGAAAACTAATTTCTCTGGCTCCCTCTGAGTGTATCATTCGAGGACTTCCAGGAGCCCTCGGAGAGAATTCATCCTCCTGTCTATAGGGGGCCTAAGCCACGCCCATCTACTTCTACTTCATGGGTTCACTGCTGCCGAAAAAAACGAATGGGAGTCTGTGAGGCACTAAAAATGATTTTCTGATCCAGTTTGATAAGCACCATTAATTTAACATATGATTTCAGTGAATTTTAAAGAAAACACTTATTTCTGACAGATGGTAAAAGTTATTTAGCATTTTGTGTGAAAAGACGTAATGACTATATGTTTGTATCTCCAAATTAGCGGTTTCGAACCAGACACGGAGAAGAAAAGTGGATAGGAAGCTCGCTGAAATCACAGCCTTCTTCCAGGACGACAGATGGAGCATAAATCTGGCCGTGTGGTACAATGCAGCTACGCTGGGGGAGAACAGCTTCTGCTGTTTCATCACAGACATCTACTTTTGTAGATCATTGAAATGAGTGAAATTTTTTTATCTTAGGAAGAAAAACAATAAACAGCTTACTTTTTGTATGTTTTTGATGCACTTACATCTGCATGTGTGCAGTTTTTATTGAAAGAAATATAAAAATAGCCCCAAACCTTCATAAATATCATTTATGTTTAATTAATCAAAATCAAACCAATCAATCAAAACTTTAGAAAATGCTTGTCATACATAAAATGTGACTCAAAGTGCTTCACAGAATGAGACGACCCCACATTCATATCATTTTCCCCACAAAAATAAAAACAGTAAAGCTAATTCACACACACACACACACACACACGCACACACACACACGCACACACACACACACACACACACACACACACACACACACACACACACACACACACACACACACACACACACACACACACACACACACACACACACACACACACACACACACACACACACACACACACACACACACACACACACACACACACACACACACACACAGCTGAGCTCAGATGTGCCAGACAGGAAGAGGAGACGCCACCAGGGGAGCCATCTACCCCGACAGCAGCAGTCTTTGTGCCGATGCAGAGTTAGGTCAGAGGTCTCCACCTCTAGAGTTTCCCTCCCCATTCATGAAACTAAAAGTCTCACTAATTCATCCTTCCTAATTATTTCCTCCCAGAAACAGAAAGATAGAAGACCAAACTCTTGTTGTCATCACATGAATCATATTTCCTATTTGACGGCAGTTTCCTGAGCATGTTTACAAAAACAAAACAAAGTCCTTTCACGTTTCCTGTTCTTGTGTCGCTACGCCAGTTTGACTGAGAACGACTCAGAATGGAAACAAGTGGAGGGACACGCAGGGACACCCCCACAGTGTGGGACATCCCCTCCCACCCACGCTCCTGTGTTGAAGAATCACGTTTCCCCAGCTGCTGACACACACACACACACACACACGTACGCATGCACACACACACACACACATTAAAGAATGCTGTAAAGTGCAGGACGTGGATCTGTGACCTCTACTCTATAGAAACTGAGCTCCGCGTAGCAGCTCACCACACGCTGCTGCTGATGAGGAACTGAAACGCTCTACTACTTCATCCTGAAGATAAATCTGTTCTTCACTCACATGACGGGACGATCGACAGCTCACCTTTAAGGTTCCCGAGGTAGAGGTCTGGAAGGATCTGGAAAGAGGACATTTGGTGGTTTCAGGTGTTTTAGTGACATGCTTTTCATGCTGGCTGGCTCCTACCTTGGTGATCCCGTTCCCCATGTCTGTCCCCAGTCACAATCTGAACCTCATTGTCCTCAGACTGTCCCAGAGGACATTCAGAGTCACACTGGACACAATGAAGCCGTCGACGTGTCCACGGCTCATGTTGAGAACGTGTTGATGAGGATTACGTAATGTCACCTCAGCAGCAGGACACACTGCTCAGATATTTATATTTAGACCAGGGTGGTGGGTGTGTGTGTGTGTGGGGGGGGGGGGGGGGGGGGGGGTCTAAATGTGGACATACCAGCCAGACAAAGATGGCTGAAGGCCAGAGGAAAGAGGAGACAGAGCTGTTGGACCATACAAGGAGCCCTTCTCAAAATACCTGCTGAGAACACCTGATTTAGCTTATCAGGATTTCCCTTTCTATCTGAATTCAAAGCAGATTATTAATGTATGTGCTTTATGTCCAGGAGGGGGAGGACCCAACCCTACCTGGATGTCTCATGTCTTACATATTCTGGAAGTTGTGCAAATGCAGGGATGGGACGGGATATTCTGCTGGGGTGGGGCTCGGTTGGTGCCCTCGGACCCAGTGGGGCTCTGTGATGCTGCTGCTTTGGGCCCTGGCGAGATGGGCTGGCGTCTCCATGCCCTGGGGGGCATTTTGGTAATGGAGGTGCCTATTGGGGCCAGTAGGGGAGCTGGCTCCCTGGAGGGCTGATGGGCTCGACACACGGGAGGCGACAAACGACCGCGATCAGCTAAATTCATCGCTGTCGCTTTTATTACCTGACACACGGGAGGCGATACCGGAGGTATTTTTAGCCCGGTTGTGTTCCTGAGTGTGGTTCGGTGTGTGGCATTGAGGCGTTTACCAAAAAGCAGAAGGTCTGAACAGCTCATCAGAGCCAGGAGGAGGCACAGAAAACCCCTTTTAATAACAACAGTGCTGCTCTTTCCTAGAACAATCGGCTCTGATTAACATCTTTGTAAACACTTCGGTTGTCCTTTATTTAAGGTTTAATGGCTGTGTTTACAAATAAACACATCAATATTATTAAAAGGCTGTTACCGTGAGTTAAAGTCCACATTAAGTTCCCTTTCCTGATTAATCTAGCTAAGTGTGTCCTTAGTCGTTAATGATTTTGTTTTAATATTCCAGTTTTTGCTTTAAATATTCAGTAAAAGTAATGTTTCAAAATGCATTTGTGATTTAGAAAATATTCATCCTCATGAAGTTGAACTTAGCTGATCTATTCTCACAAGAAGCCGGAAAAGTTTAGGAATTTAGTCAACAAAATCTAAATAGATCTAAATATCTCACTCTTACAAAGTCTAACTGATTTATTTTATTTTACAAAACTCAAAAATACAGTTTTTAGGAACTCAAATAAAATTAAATTTACTCATATGAACACATTGGTTGTTCACTTTTAGATACTTACTTTCGCTTTGTTTTATTGGCTGTACTTCGTTGTTGTTTTTTATGTTTTTGACATGTGACTGTTGTTTTATTATGTACAGCGCTTTGGTCGGTTGTGCTCTATAAATAACGTTATAGAACGATTTCAGTCAAAGCATCTCCAAAATTAAATCACGTGTTCGTGTTGGCTCAAGAGGAATGTCGTAAAATAACGAGGCGGTCAGTGAGAAAATAAATGAAGAATTAGAAACTTTCACATATCGATTTGAACCATTTTGTGATTTTAATTCGGGGAAATTTTGATGTTTTTGTTCCTTTTTGCACTTTCGCTTCAAACGTTTTTCCTGCGTGGAAAGTGCTGAAGTGAATCCAACAGTCCGGACTTCCCTTAAAACAGTGCGAGGCGGACTTCAGTCAGTCTCTACCAGATTATCTCTAACCAGCCTTTTGCCTGTCCCTTTCTAACCAGTTGTCTTTCACCAGTTTAACCAGTTAGAAGCCCAGCTGCTCCTCTGGAGAAAATGGTGGCCGCCTTGTTGTTAACCGGGAGAAGTTTGTTAAAGTGTAGGATGAGCGGCGTGAAGGCGACGCAGCGGCTCTGGTAACACTTTCATGTTGAAACCGGTTGAAACATGCATGTGGATGATCATGTGCGCGTGCACAATTCTTCAAATCCCTTTTCAAATCACGTTTAGGAGGCGCGTTCTGGCTCCGCTGTTTTGTTGTTGCATTTTCACCTCCGACCACCAGGTGGCGCCAAATACCCTGTCGTTTCTGTTGGATTTTTAAATTTTTTTATTTTTAGCTCTTCATTTTAGACAGAAATTATTGTGTTTTTTGTCATTTAACCACTTTATCTACAAATTTTATGTTATTTCAGCAACTTTTAAATCAAAATGTTCGTCTTTCAGGAGCAGCGTGCCAGAACCTTTGGTATTAAATGGAAAATTCAAGTTCTTCTGCACTTGTCCAGCTCACAGTCATTGATCTGACAGACACTGGGCTAAACTTTGTACTCTGTGCTGTTTTAACAAGTTATTCCTCTGTTCAGCTCATCTTCTCTGTTTATTTTTTTTACTGTTCTTCCGGAACAAGCGATCATGGAAAGAGTTTATTAATAAACTCATCCTTCCACTCGTCATCTGCTAATTTTCCCAGTTCAACTCAGCTCAGCTATTTTTCATTTTTCAGCACCCAACCTGCATTTCTGTGAGAAATGTAGTTTTATTTTGTAATTAATTATTTTTAAGCAAACTTGATTTGAAAAAATAATGCATATTTTATGTAAAATGAGGTCCTACTAATCTGAAACAGCAAGGGGAGATTGCATTTTCAGGCCTGTAGCGGTGAAAACACCTGAAACGTCTGCATTATTTCATCCACAAGTATCACTTTCACCAATGGTTCTTAATAGGGCTGCAGGATATTAGGAAGACCTGTGATGCACGATAACAGTGATTAATAGGGATGTGTATTGGCGAAATTATGGCGATACAATACGTATTACGATACAGGGGAGACGATACAATATATCACGATATATTGCGATACATTCAGTCAGACAATATTGCCACTTTTTCAGACTTAATTTATTATAGGAAAATTCAATCAACAGTCTCAAGCTGATACTTAACATGTTTAACCGTAACAGAGGGATTTACATTTTAATGGTAGAAACAAAACCCATTACACACTGCTGCCAACTAGTGGTTGGCGTTTGAATCGCACCACAGGAAAAGAAAATACACAAATGTTTCCATGTAAATTCTTCCAAAAATTAGATACTACACATTTTTTGAATATCAATACATTTTTTGCAAGAAAAAAATCACGATATATTGCGATATCGATGTTTTCAATACACAGCTTTTGAATATCGATATAATATTGCTGGGGAAAATATCACGATATATTGCCATAATCGACATTTTCTTACATCCCTAGTGATTAATATTGCTATGACGATATGACTTTCAATAAATAAACAATCCTTAACTCAAGCACAAAAAAAAAATCCAAAACTAAGTAATCAAAAAATTTAAACATGACAAAAAAATCATAAAAAATGGAAAAAGCAAAAATGGTGATCAGAAGATGAGGAACGGGAAAAAGAAAATGAACATAATCATCTGCCCATCCTGCTTTTCCTGGGATCCACTGATTGCCTTTTCCTCTGAATGCCAATACTGATTTTAACTGTTCTAATAAATCCTTATAAACACAGTTAATGAGCTGGATGCATCCTTGAAAAACTACAACTTAGTCAAAACTCCAAACACTTACTTTTTCACCTCTTGAGATGTAAATCATCCAATGAGAATGTCATCTTGCAAAAGTTCATTAAAACATCTTCAATGGAAATATTTTCCTTTTTTTACTTCAGTTCACTCAACAGCTGATTTTGCACAGCTCTTTATATTAGTGTTGTATTAGTTACTGATTTTGTTTTCCAGCTTTAATCCAGTCTGGATCTGGGTGCTTGTTCAGACATCGATTATCTGGTTTTCTATCGCTGCAGCTCCTCCGTCTCCTCCGGTCGACATCGAGTCAACGGCGTTGATCTGTACTACGAGCAAACGGGCGAAGGGAAACACGCTGTTCTGCTGATTCCAGGTGCTCTCGGTAAATGCAGCCACACCCCATTCACGCTCAGGATGTGGCCTCCGCTAGGATCAACACGGACGTCACTTACACACTCGCATCGGCTCCACTCCGCCTGGACCGGGTTGGGAGTGTTATCATTTAGGTAGTAGCCTTGGGGTTTCCCATGCGCGCCCTCTTCCCGATGCGGTCTGCCTGGAGGCAAACATGCCAGACACTCCCACTGCATGCTGATTGGCCAGCTCAAAATTGTGCGTACTATTAGGAGGAGCCTCCGATTGGCAGATAGAATCAGCCCACGGGCATTATCATTCTGGATGCTGTGGAGTTAACGAGACTGAAGCCAGTTTTCTGACTTACACACACACACACACACACACACACACACACACACACACACACACCCACACACACAAAGCAAAGCAGGATCCAAAATCTAAATCAGAGTCTCTAAAAGCAAGACCGCTCAAGCTGCTTTGGTTTAATAATGGAGACACCGTGGAGTTGCGAACTTCCCAACGCTCTTTTGCCCCGCCCACGTGCTCGGAGATGCGTTCATGACATCACAGGCCACAGACGGCCCATGTGCTCGATCACATCCACGTTCCTAAGGCAGTGTGGAGCAAACGCGGCCAGGCTGGGGTAGGCATAACTTCTGATTGGCTAACAGCAACGTGACCCTTCTGTCGCCTCCGTTTGCTCTTTTTTCTTGGGGAAAAAAAATTCAACATTGATATTTTATCTCCACAAATAACACAAGCCTGGAGGAGTTCTGTTGTGTGGTGGAGCTGCTAATGCTAACAGTTAGCTTCTACTTGCTGTTTCCTGGATGCTAAACCAACACAGCAAACAGCTTTGCTAGTGGATATGAGCATTTACGCAAAAGATAATTAACTTCCCTCCAGCTGCAGCATCACTATCTTCTCTGTTGTTCTCACCACAGGAAGCACCCAGACAGACTTCGGTCCTCAGCTGAAGTCTCTGAATAAGGAACGCTTCACGGTGGTTGGCTGGGACCCTCGAGGTTATGGACGATCCCGCCCTCCACAGCGGGACTTTCCTCCAGACTTCTTTGAGAGGGATGCAAAGGATGCTGTAGATCTGATGGAGGTGCTGCAGCTGTTGGGTGCTGATCGACAGTGCACCATCACAGAAACAAACCCCATTTCCTTTATTTGTCTTTTAGACTTTGGGTTTCGGCAGGTTCTCGCTGCTCGGCTGGAGCGACGGAGGAATCACTGCTCTGATCGCCGCTGCCACGAAGCCGCAGCTGATCGACAAAATGGTTGTTTGGGGATCCAACGCTTTCGTCTCCCAGGACGACCTCAAGCTTTACAACAGTACTCCGCTTTTTATCAGCTGCTGGTGTAGAAATAAGACAAGAAAATGTTCTTAAAACAGATTTTTTTTACCCTTTGTGTTTTTGTGGGAATGCTCAGTGGTCCGAGACGTCTCCAAGTGGAGCGAAAGAATGAGGCGGCCCATGGAGGAGGTGTACGGAGCAGAAGCTTTTGCTAAAACCTGGGAGAGCTGGGTGGATGGCATTGCTCAGTTTGCACACAGACCAGAAGGTGAAAACATCAGCATGAACACATTTAGACTCTTTATTTTACACTCGTAACGCTCGTTTGGTGTTCAGAGCTCAAGTGCTTCCTTCACTTTCTCTCTTTAGGGAGTATCTGTGTGGAGCATTTGCCGCTGATCAGCTGTCCCACCCTGATCATCCATGGAGAGAAGGATCCCATGGTGCCCAGCTTCCACCCTCACTACCTCCACAAACACATAAAGGGCTCACGGTGAGACCACATGCCCAGCCTTACTGTGTGCATTACACCCCGAGGATGGAAGTAACACTCGTTACGTCATTTCCATCTTTAGGTTGCATTTAATGCCTGAGGGAAAACACAACCTCCACCTGAGGTACGCTGAGGAGTTCAACAAACTAGTGGAAGATTTTCTGGAAGAAAGCCCTGATTATTTTTCCACTCCCAACAACTGAACTGTAGAAAAACTACTTGAATAAAATTTGGTGACTGTTTTTTTTATTGTAATTTTTTGTTCTACAGTTTGAATTGCATATGTAAAGGGTTAATTTACATCTAATTAAGGAACCGTGAGACATAAGATTCCATAGTAAATATGAAGTCAATCTTACGGACTGTTGGGTTATTTTAACCAGAAGATTGGAACTTTTTATTGCAGGGATTATGTAACACTCGTATTAACTGAGAGACAAGAGAAGAGAGTCACCTTTAAAATGTATAAGAAGATTTATTTCTAAACAATTTTAAAGAATTTTAAACAAGACTAACTAAACTCTAAGTGAATGGATGGATCTGGTGTGAATGAGACGTGAGATGGATGGTGTATGTGTGTGTGAGTGATGTTGTCATCAGAACTCTCGTATCCGGAGAAGCAAGTCTGAATGATGTTGTGATGTTTTGCTTTAGCTATGATCGGAGTTTCATAAACACATGAGACGCCATATTGTCGCTCTACACATACCTTTAGGATGAGACCTCCATACAGATCCAGAATGTCAGGTCCTCGAACCCCCCTTTTGGTACCGGAGCCGATGAACCAGCGTCAGCACTACGACAGCCTAGTCTTTGGATTGTCTCCAGGTAAAAAGTGACAGTTGCGTCAGGTGGACCCCCCTTGGGTCAGTGAGTTCAGCTTTTATTCTGAAAGGAACCGTTGCTTAGTTGGAAAAATGCAACAGATTTTATCCAGCTTGTTGGTTCTTTGCTTAAAAAGCAAGTCCGGGTGGCCGGTCCGATACTCCTCTTAGCATGCGGTGAACTAGAGAACTGATCTAAGATGGCGCTGGGACTGGTTTTATTAATCTGGATGTTTTGATTTCTGGTCGAATCAAAGTTGGACAGATTTATAAACACCACAGAGACAATGCCACGCTTCAGAAAGGAAGGTTCTGATTGGATGAGTAAACAATGTGTCGTGCGTTTACATTACGTGTGATCAGGATGTCTAGTGCAGCTAGACTAAAGTCATATTATTAAAGTATATTAATCATAACATTGTCATTTCACAGATTGGCCAACATCGTATTATTGACTAACACTTTGTTTGATTAGCTTTATTAAAAAAAGAGTTCTTTGATTTATTTAAAGGAAAGAGTCCTTTATCTTCATTCTTCTCTTGAGCTGGAAAGGAAGCAGTTTAGAAGCAAATGCATGACCTTGAGTCAGTCTCATGCAGATTAGTTCTGTGTCAGAGGCATCTGTGGAGGGAGGGTAAATAACCTTCGGTGGAATAGCTCCTCCATCATGTTACACATAATAAATGTTTTAAAAGTGAAAACGGCTTTGTGTTTAGCCGGATGTCCAGGACCCTTTTTGGCAGTTGTCGTGACGACATAGTTCAACACGTTTTAAAACTGAACAGGTGGACAAATATGACCAAAACCTTCTAATAAAATATCTAAATAGCACCTCTAGTGAATAATATAAGGCTTTTTGCACACTTAGTTACTTAAAATGTGAAACGCACTGTATTAAGGGATAAAAAAGTGAGTTTTTCAAGATGTCTCCTTTAAATGACACAGCATTTCCCCCGCTCAACCAGCGAAATACAAGTACAGAAATATAATTTTACTTACTGTTGAAAAAGAAACTGAAACCGCTTGGATGACCGGTTAGTAGGCTAACCACAGCTTGACCTTTTTGTCCAAATAATTCCACACAACATTCAGACAAGAACTCTCAGAGGACACAGCTAAAGTTCAGACAGCTGAAATGCTCAAACGTCTATTAACGCGAGGCCCAGGCAGAGCAGAGACCTTTTCCTGGAGCTGGCTCCCATTGCTAGCTCTGAAGTCACGTGGCTCCGATGCACATTAATTATACAGAATTTTACGCACTGAACTGGTTTTTGGAACCAGGCTGTAAACGTGTTTATTTCTGTTGTGAAATTAATATTTTTAACATGGGAGTCAGTTAGGATTTACTCACTTCTGGTGCCAGCCCCAAGCGGATGAGGGTGGAGCTCAGTTTTAGTCACCCCTTCTTTGCGTCCAAAATGGCCCCTTGGTTAAAACAGCCTTTTTTAAAATTATTTTGTTAATTTGGAAAAAACAGAGTTTTTGTTTGTTTTTTTCAGGTGAATGCAAATACAACATTATACCTAAATATGGAAGTACCTTAATAGTACCTGTGATTTAATAAAGCACCTTGTTGTTTGTGGCATCAGTCTGCAAGCCAAAGAGTGACTGCTAAAAATAAAATAAAAAACTGTAACCCAAGCTATGGTAGGCCATTTTCCATATAAAGTCAACAACCGCCCCTCTTTGCATTTTCTATATGTATTACAGTATAACTTTGAAGTATGATTGATAGCTCAAATAATCCTAGGCATAATTCTATAACGAGATGTTTGTACCAGGTTTGGGGTGGCAGCGGGTGCCAGCTGCTGGCTGGAGGAAGCTGATGACTCTGCAGACGCAGGCGGTAGTGTGTGACAACATGTAGTTCGGCATGCGTTTTCATTTTTATGCTGACGACTGTCAGATCTACCTCCCCCTTCAGCGGGGGGTCGATGGGTCATTATCAAAGCTTATAGATGCCTTAGAGGATGTGCGCTCTTGGATGGCTACAAACATTTTACATCTGAATGACGCTAAGACTGAAGTAATTGTGCTTAGCCCTGGCATGTCTACACGCCCATGAGATGCCGTGAATCTGGGCCCTTTAGCATCTAGCATGAAGACCACCATCTGAAATTTGGGAGTGCAACTGGACTCAGCCCTTAAATTCGACGCGCAAATCAACCAGGTTGTGTGATCGTGTTTTTTTAACTAACGCCGCCTAGCCAGAGTTAAGCCCCTGCTGTCCAGACTACATCTAGAGACTGTCACATATGCTTTTGTTCTTTCAAGGATGGCTACTGCAATGCACTGTATGCCGGCCTTAGTCAGGGTGCGGTAGCACGCTTGCAGTTAGCACAAAACTCACCCGCTAGGTTCGTGACAGGCACCAGGCGCAGGAAACATGTCACCCCTGTGTTGGCATCCCTTCATTGGCTGCCTGTGCAATATAGGGCAAAATTCAAGGTCTTGGTACTGGCACACAAGGCCTTACACGGAACATCTCCAGCATATCTTGGCAACCTTTTGCATAGACACGCCCCCTCGCGGGCCCTTCGCTCAGCCGGCAGGGAGCTGTTGATCGTTCCACGCACTAAGTGCAGGTCACGGGGGGACCGATGTCGGTACAGGATCTGCTCGGGTGCAGGATCGGCTCGGGGTCCTTCGACTGCCGATGACGTCAAAGTAGTTGATTGGCTGAACATGAAGCTTGCGGAAGTGACGTTATCACCTTCTGATTTTGATTGGTCAGAACAAATTTGCGGTTGTGGTCTTAGCAGTTGTAGTCCTGTAGTCCCAAAATCAACACGTTTTGGGGAAAATATGTTTGCATTTCTAAAGGGAATGTAAAATATAAGCAAATGATAAACGGTGACCCTCAAAAGCTCTTGATCTTGATGAAATGGGGAAAAATAAACTATAAGAACTCTACTGAAAGACACCAAGCAATATTTTGAATCAAATAATGTATTTAGATAACAACTAAGGAAATATACAGACGAACTCCACATCAATACTAACAGATGTGGCTTCACATATAAGAACTGTTCTATTTTTTGTCAGTCCCATGTTGGTTTTATGCAGTTTCACATTCTTTACAAAACAAAGATATGTTTTATTAACAAATTACAATCATGAAGACAACATTTAGGTGTTAATAAACAAGAATTTATTAACAAAACTGATGTCTTTCCGAAACGTATGTGTGAAAGCCGAGTAGATTTGCAGTAATGAGACGTCATCGGCAGTCGAAGGACCCAAGCCGATCCTGTACCGACATCGTGCGTTCTCGGTGTTGGCACCTGCACTTTGGAACCAGTTGCCTTTGGTGGTGCGTCAGTCACCCTCATTGGGGTTTTTTAAGTCTCGCCTTAAGAGCCATATTTTTTTGTCGAGGCATTCCAGGATTAGCAAATTTTACTCGGTTTCGATGCCCCGGCCTCTTAATCTTTTTCAGGATTTTATTTTTTGCTTTTACTCTCCTCTTTTAATTGATTTTATGTTGGTTTTACGATTGTTATATTTTATTCTGATGGTTAGGGTTAGAAATGATGAATATTTGATATATTGCATTTTTTTACATTAGTAAATCATTTCCACATATAGTTTTGCATTATTTTGGTTATATATAAATGTACTTAACGCAACAGGAAAACCACAAAGAGTCGGCTCTTGTTGGTGAGCTGGGCTAAAATAACCAGCTTGGAAGTTCCCATCTTAGATTCAAGTAACCTAAGGAAGGTCTTTAACTCACATGCTGTCTGACTCACGGTGTGAATGAAACGGGCAATAAAAGGTGAAGCAGATAAAGATGCGGCTTTACAGATTTACAATTAAAAAGAAGCGGATACACAATTACTGGCCCAGACTGTCATCAGTTATTAGTATTTAATTTTAAAAAATGCGTCTCATCGCTCCCATAATGCAGTGCGACATTCGTGCACAAAAGGCTAAAAGAAAAAAATACATATTAGCCGTGTACATTTTACAAAAAGTGACCAAAAACCAAACAGTGTTCAGATGAAACAAGGCTGAGCTTCATAACAACTATAAACATTGTGGCTCACACCAGAAATCTAGAGAAAATACTAATAATAATAATAATACAAACTCAGATCTGCTTTTCCATAGACACGAATACGGATTGATTGCTTAGGTCTGGCGGTTCTTCTCCTCAAACCGTAAGTCACGTTACCGTGTACAGATCTCGCGAGTGTTTGTTGCACAGCGAATCACAATGAGCGAGATGCACAACGGAGCGGAGTTTGGAGGCATTTCGGTGCACAATTTCTCCGAGAAGATTTTGGAGCAGGTCGTTCACTTCCACGTGATGAAGCTCGACGGTGGGTTCTTCCTGTGGGTCGGTTCGGCTGCGGTTCTGTCCAACCTGGCGGTCTCCATGAGCAGCAAATACGTGAGTTTTCAGCAGCTAGCATGTGGTTCCAGATGAAGATGGACACTTATTTTAAAGTTATTTGATTAAACATCATGTATTTGTGACTTTCTTATATTTTAAATGTGCATTTTGACTATTCGTTTTCCCGTTCAGGATTCGATGCCTTTGTCCACATTAGTGATGGGAGATCCGTCCAACACCACAGCAAGTTCTCTGTCGCAAAGATTAGGTAAAGTATAGAGAAACGCGTTTTACTGTCATTACTCTAAAATAAACGAGACCAGCATGAAAGTATTCAAGACGAGTCTCAGGGTACCTTGACAGCAAAACCTCAGCTTGCACCTCTGCTGATTTTAAATTCAAGGAAGAAATTGTGGCATTGATCAAATGAAGGAGTTATTTATTCCCTCCTGCTTTATTCACAAAAGGTAGATACGTAATTTCTGTGTAACTTCACCTACCCCTACCATGCACTAGTTCCCAGGTGCTGATTCACCAGGAAAAATATAGCAGAACATTCTTGATGTTATTTATTTATTTTTTAATCATTAATTTGCACAAGTTTCTGATGGGTTTTATCGCTCCATCTACGTTCCTACCCTCACCTAGGGTATCCGCGGGTCCTTAAAAAGTCTTAAATTTACTTTACCAAATTTAAGGTCTTAAAAATCCTTAAAAAGGACAAATAATCCTTAAATACAGTTTCCAAAGGTCTTAAATGACCAAAGACCCAATAAAAAAAAGATTCTTTTATTTCTATAAAATTTTCATGAATGTCTAGTTAGTGTTCAGCTTTTTTTGTGTACGATGTTGACGTAAGCGGAACCGTACACATTCAGTTGGTTGTGAAAGGGGGTTATTTTTAGATGAGCACATTAGCTGGTTAAGCTAGTGGGAGCTTGCACCATGGGGAAGTGCAAGTTTAATGATAACTGGATGGCTAATCCCACGTTTGCGACGTGGTTAGCACCGATTCCAGGCAATAGCTGGAAATTATAGCTTAAATTTGGTCAAAGTGGCCTTAAAAAAGGTCTTAAAAAGTCTTAAATTTGGCTCCCTTAAACCTGCAGATACCCTGAAAGAATGGGATCGTGGGTACAAGTGACCAAAACGAGTTTTCTCCTTAGGGTGTCTGTGCTCTCCCTTAGAGATAGGGAGAGAAGCTCGGTGTAGGTCTGCTGCTCCTCCACATCGAGAGGAGCCAGTTGAGGTGGCTTGGGAATCTGGTCAGGACGCCTCCTCTGGTGAGGTTTTCTGAGCTCATCCAACTGGGAGGAGGTCCAAAGGAAGACCCAGGACGCACTGAAGAGACTAGCCTCTTTCATAAAACTGCAAAGCTGGGATCATCAGGGAGCCTCATGTCGTTCATTAGTGCTCAGACCGTGGTGCTAAAGTGGTGCCATCACGCGCTTTTCACCAAAGATTACACAATGACGGTAAAAAGGGAGTGTAGGGGAGGACTTATGTTCAGCTTGGACATAACTTGCTTTTAATTGCGATTGAAACCGTGCTACTTTTGTTTTTTTCATAAGCCGCTCCTAAAGGCATCTGCCCTCCACAGTCCCCGTGAGCTGTCTGGTGATCTGAGCTCCAACTCTAACGGCGAGCTGCTCCCAGAGCTCTGCTTCGCTTCGATTTGCTGTTTCGGCTGATTCTGTTTACTAAAGCAACACCGACTCCCGTGTTTACCTTAGCTTTAAATATAGTCGCAAGCCGGAGCTCAGTGGGCATTCCACAGGTAATCGTGACATCGCCTCTGTTGCACCGAGGCATAATCTTCATTCACAAGTTCGGTGTTGCGGTAGCGTTGCCACCGGGCTTGGCTACACAAGTGCTGCATGCCGCCGCGGCGCTTTCACGAGGCTCACCGTGGCAGCACTGGACGGCCGGCGCGGTGAGTCTTACGAAGTAGCTTATTTTTCTCGTCTGAGTTGAGAACACCTTGGGATTCCCCAGGAGGAGCTGGCCCAAGCAGGCCTCTCTGCCTACACTGCTGCCCCCGTGACTCAAACATGGATGGATGGACGTTTTTGGTGAAGCAGACGCTTCATTCGTGTTAGTCGAGATGGAAAATGAAAGCAACCCGGTTTGATCCATTAGTTGGGGTCAGTCAGTTGATTTCTGGCCCCTTTTGTGTTCCTCTGGGTCAACGAATGCAGCACACCAACACTAATTTAGGTTTTAACACTAAAATGAGAATTTGCCCTTTGAGCTAATGGTGAACTAAATCTGTTGTTGTGTCTGTTTTGCAGCAAAAAGGACCAGAAAGCAGGTGCTTGTGAGTTACAGTCTTCCGATGACAGATTCCAGCCTCAGTCTGTTGGTGGAGAACCGGATAAAAAAGGAGCTGGAGCTTCATCCGGAGTACTTTTAAACTCCTCCTCCCACAGTAACCAACCCCCCCAACACCAATCACCGACACACAGTCACATCCAGTGTTCTTTTATTGACATAATAAATTAAACGGTTTATTATCAAAACATGTAGGCCTATGGCCTTTTGTACAAATGCATCATCTTATTAAAAAACAACACTTAGAAAACGGCGTTAGTGGTTGTTTCCGTTTCACATACAAACTAGGAACCATACAGTGTATTTAAATCTGTGTGCTAAAGAGGGTTTAAAACTAGCTCGGACCAGTTCTATACTTTTCTATTAATGGGATGGATTCTCTGGTAGATGTGCTTCACGGGCAATGGAGATAATGGTCCTCACGAGTACACACACCTTACGTTTTAATGCAGTCCTACGGGATAATTACATAACCTACACAGTCACGGCTATGCCAGGTCTACGCTGCTAGCATCTAATCCTCAGACGTTTGTTTGCTCCCGAAAACGAGGAAATGTTGCCATTTCTGTCTGGAGTCACTTCCAACAGGTGGGATTACGACGGTACTACGGTACAGAGAAATACGACGGCGTTGGAAAATCTATCCTAGTTTTGAAATTCAAGTAAAAATGTTGAGATGAAATTCTATTTTCAGATTAAAGTCATTGTAGAGAGAAAAGTCAGAATAGTATTTAAAGAATACGTTTATTTTGAGCTTTGGGTAGTGACCGAAAGAACGAGGTCGCGGATACAAGCGACCGAAATGAGTCTTCTCCGAAGAGTGGCTGGGCTCTCCCTTAGAGATAGGGTGAGAAGCTCGGTCATCCGGGAGGGGCTTGGAGTAGACCCGCTGCTCCTCCACATCGAGAGGAGCCAGTTGAGGTGGCTCGGGCATCTGATCAGGATGCCTCCTGGACGCCTCCCTAGTGATGTTTCCAGGCAAGTCCAACTGGGAGGAGTCCCAAGGGAAGACCCAGGACACGTTGGAGGGACTATGGGTGTTTCTCAATGTCAAGGAACCTTGCTTTGATGTCGTGGCCCCGCCCCGGTTGTCTAGGAGATACGTCATCGGGAGCCGCCATGACGTGTTCCAGTGTTCATGTTCTACCGAGGTGTGTGTTCTCCGTTTGTTAGCCGTTTAGCTAGCTGAGCAAGGATACACCGGAGGTGTCTTATAGCCTAGCCTTGGTCAAAAATTACCCACAATACACCGCGGTATTGTCAAAAAGACGGCGAAACAGAAGCCGGCAGCTACTTCGGGGACAATTTTCAAGTTTAAAAGTAAGTCAGCTTATTTAAAGACATCGCCTCACAAGGCAAGGCGCCTTCACATTGAGAAACACCCTATGTCTCTGGGCTGGCCAGGGAACACCTTGGGATTCCCCCGGAAGAGCTGGTCCAAGTGACTGGGGAGAGGGAAGTCTGGATAAGCAGCTGAAAATGGGTGGATGGATGGAGTGAAATCAAAAGCTAAGCTAGCTTTGGCGCACGGCCATGGGTGACTCAGTCCTTTAGATTAGGTTTTAATAACGACGATTAGGCGCAAACGTGACCTGCATCTGAACTATTCTGACTTTTCTGGAGTTTTAAGTCATTTAAAACTCAGAAATGAAACCTAATTCTTGTATTTTATCTGAGTGGCTCGGAAACGCCACAGAAGAGGACGAGCGGTGAGAACCGGAGTGAAAATATTTGCTCAACAAGACGGAAACTGAAGCGACAAAATTGCCCTTCGGCGGCGATACAAAATAACTACTGGATCTCTTCATCTTCATTGGGTCTTCTCAGAACCATCACGATAAAGCCACCAGGATGCTGAGGCGCATCATAAGACATCACGTCCAAATGTCCATTCCGCTCTCAGGCTTGTTTATGGTTTGTTCTGTGAAGGCTACGGTCTGCCGTGGTCTCCGGTTGTTCTTCACACACAACCATCATATAACGGCGCCTGCCTAAAGTCAGCGTCTACGCCGACCTCGTCTCCCAGGATAAAGTGCCACATCGGACTTTTCTCAGAAACTACAAACGAGGGAGAAAAATAAAACTTTTTTTTTGCCCTTTCATGCAAGAAAGTATTTGTGCTGGATGAGCCGCGTTGGCCGAAATTCACAAACACTTGATTGTGTCTTTCATAATTAGTGCAAACGAACTTCTAAGATGCAGTGAAATCACGTCAGAAACAGTTTTCCTCTGAAACACTCGACCGAGCACGAGGACGTCACCAAGTCCTGCACATCGACTTGGTTCATACAATGTTTTTGGGATAACTCCTGAACGAATCATTGTCACCACAAACAATGCAAATTTTCTATCATTGTCATCATCTCCGTCCTCACTAGAGTTCATCTTTTATTCCCTTCAAAGATTTGTTCAAAAGCTGCATTCTGTGGTTAATCAGCAGTTATTTGCACAGACCGTTGCTGAGACGCTCATACCCCATTGGCCATGGCGTGATTTCCAATCACCTCGCCACCTGTTGCTAGGGCGTAGGAGGCAGGCACTGCTGCCAGAGCGGTGGCCACTGCGACCGTGGCGCCCCCTGTGGCAGTGAGGTGTAACGGCGTGTCGTGGACTCGCGAGTAGTCCCTGTCACATTTGGCCAGAAGGAGGTGCTGTTCTCCCGGATGGAGCAGGGGCCTCCGGGTAAAGGTCTCTCCGTCGGCCAAGCTCTCGGGCAGAGGCTGACCCCGCGGCTCCGGCAGCAGCAGCAAGCAGATGATGCACAGCAGCGTGCAGCAGGCGAAGATCACGTGATGCAGGAAGTAGCCCTTCTGGTTGTGGAGCTCCATGATGGGGGCGGTGAGCATCCCGAAGCCGGCGCTAGCCAGGACCAGACCCAGACCTCCGCCCCTGTGCAGAAACAAACATTTACAGATGACTGAAATGCTCTGAAGACTCTAGAGTCACCTCCTTTATTCTCTAATGTGCTGTTAAAAATGCACGGGAGCGTATTACCGCCACTGCAGGAAAAAATGATCCCGTAAAAATGAATGTTTTGGTAGCACATAAGTTTAGGGAACACAAACTAACCATTAATTTGCTGCCAGTTAATATGCATATTAGTGGACTAGTAAGTCTGAATTAGTCATTATTAAGCTATTATTAGGTGTTTATTACCAATGCTGTAATTCTAATATTAACAGGCCATAAATTAGGAGTTTTATCAAAATAAGCCATTCATAATGGTTTGTTGCTGATTAATGCACATACCGTAAATCCTCTAATGTTAGCCTGTATTTAATTAACTGCCAGGTATCCTATTTTGGCCGGAGTCGGCGGAGGTGAATAATGGCCGGTTTTTTATTGTGGCCGAGTGGAATGTGGTAACAAGCACGTATGGGGGCGGTTGTGTCATCGTCTCACTTTTGATTTGCCAGTGATAGACCGCGAGGGTAACTTTAACCATTTGATATCAAGTTCAAAGAGAACGTGCTGATTATGCTGCAGAACACTGGGGAGCAGTAGCAGGGCTTGTATTAACTAGTCACTAGTCAACTTCACCACTCTATAGTGACTTGTTATGCCTGTCATTGACTAGTCGCTGTCACGTGATAATGACCGGCAAGATGCAGTCCCCGGAAAAGACAGCAGCCTGCTGTCAGCAGGTGATGAGCTCCTGCGCGTCGAGAGGCAACGCGCTGTGCCAGAGCGTCGGTACCGACACCCGCCGTAAAACGGACATTTAACCAAATTGTGACCTTTACCCTCTTGCAATTTAACCTTCTCCTCACCCCCATCCTAACCTTAACCAGCTTGCACATGCAAAGCTCTGATCGTTGACACGCTCCAGACATCTGTGTCCTGAGCACGGCCACAGTAACGTTATCAAATCAGGTGCCGCCACCTCAAAAACTAATTTAACACGCGATCGTTCATGTCGGCTCATTTCCTTTTATGTTTTCTGTCTTTTATTTGAACCTGATGCGTTTCGCTGCTGTGGATCGGGGCGCACCACCTGTTTTGTCCTCGGTGACGCACCTAACTGATGTGGCCGGCGAGCAGCGCGCACTCCGTTGTTTTTGCGGTCGGTAGATCTTTTAGAACTGCAGTTCAAAGGTAACTCATAAGGTGAATATATATGAACCCAGGTAGCAGTTTCTCTTTAGGACTGAGAGGAGATGCAGGAAGATAATAAACAGACAGGACAGAAAAATAGTCAAATAAAAACAAGTTAGTTTTTGTTCCTGGTGGTTGCAACAAACAGACACCATTGAAGGTAATCAGAAGTGAGGAACAGAAAATGAAATTATTATTTTAATGTTTAGAGCAGCAGGAACTCCGAGAGGCTGCAGGCGCATCAGTGAGTTTGCGGCGCTGCACAGGGGGAGGGGGGAGAGGACTGAAGCAGGGGGAGGGGGGAGATGGCTGAAGCAGAATCTACCGTTGTTAAAAGAAATGTGTTTAACTTTGAAAATGTGGGCGCAATTTTAATTGTAAAAAAACTCCAGCGAACCATTAGTTCATTTTGCTCAAATAGAAATTGAGGCCTGCCTCTAATTCTGGTCCTCCTTCCAATAAAGGCCTGGGGCTTGATGAGCTTGAGTCAAATACAGGCCCGGGCCTGTATTAGAGGATTTACGGTACTGATTAGCTCAAATCAATGTGTGGCCTTTAAAGAAGTAATTCAAGGGGAATAGTTAATAACCAAAAATATTCTGTTCTGGTATTACATAAATAAACACCAAACTCCACATGTTAATAGAGCCTAAACAACAATCAATTAACCACTTGTAAACAAGAATATGTTCCCCATTCTAAAGTCAGATTTAGTTCATACCTAATTACTAGTAGTTTAGTATTAATTAACCAAGAATATGTTCCCCTTGAATTACTTCTTTAAAAGCCAAATATTGATTTGAGCTAATTAGTATGTGCGGTAATCAGCAACAAACCATTATGAATGCCTTATTTTGATAAAACTCTTAATTTGTGGCCTGTTAATATTAGAATTACAGCATTGGTAATAAGCTCTTAATAAGTGCTTAATAATGACTAGTTCAGACTTAGTAGTCCACTAATATGCATATTAATTGGCAGCTAATTAATGGTTAATTTGTGTTCCCTAAACTAAAGTGTTACAGATGTTTCTCATTATAAGGTGATATAAATTAAACTTTAACAGCAAGTCTCTCAAAAGTTTGTGTTTAACATCTCGTAATAACAAGGAGGTAGGTCGAAGGTAGAAAGCCAGCGGATGTTTGAATCTCGTCCAGAAGTTACAAAAGGAGAGAGAGTTTTTTATCGGTGTTTTGTCCGATGAACACACTCCAACGCAGTTTGGTCAGGCCGCCCTCCACTTTGAAAACAATGGAGAACATGCCTTTCTCTTGGATCATGTGTGTGAAGCGTGTTTAGTCTCATGGAGCACACAGACTGTTGCTGCTGCAGCGTCCCTTTCTTCCTCTCTGGACGAGTGAATATCTTCATCAGAGGGTGAAGATTACTCTTCAGAACCAGACTCAGACATCACCAGACAAAGAGCTTTGCCAACAATCATCAGACCAGTCAGCATCGTACGTTTCTCCTCTCTGATGTGAATATTCACCCGCTGTGAGCTCCGCCCGTCGTCTCCTCAGGCAGGAGTCTCCTGACGGGACCGTTTTCACACTAAACACCCAAAAGTGTTGCTCAGACTGAAGTTACACGTCTCCACTATCTTCTGGTGTAAAGAGTAGGGCTGCAACAAACGATTATTTGGATAATCGATTAATCGGATGGGGTCTCGACACGATTAATCGATTAATCGGATTACATGGGGAAATTTTTAAAAACTGCTAGGGAAACGTTATTTCTCTCCTTCCTTCACTTTATTTAACACAACATTATTAGAAAACAGTTCAATAGCAGAAAAACAACATGCCATCACCTAAATTGTCTTATAAGGTGTATAGACAGAGACCCTAAGCTACATCTATCTGTGACCTAAAATGCTTGGTCCAAGTTAAACAGCTTAAGGGCAATTCTCATCTGTTTTGTTTGATCTCATCTGTTCACATTTATTTTAAATGTAATTAAACATAGGCTGTGAATTAATCAAAATTGATCACTATTTCCAAAACTGACTGAAAAAATACCAAATAAAACAAAAGTAAATGAATGCCATCCTCCTTGCGATGATGCCCTGGGCAACTGCAATAAAGTCACATCAAGAAATGCTGCTGATCATTCCAATGATCCCAAATAGACTCACATTAGGCCACATGAAAGCAACTGAACCCAAAAATATATTAACCAGTATATAACTGCACTCTCACACAACACGCCTGCAGCAACAGTTAGGACTCCTCCCTCCCTTTTAAAAGCGTTTTTGCTTCTGAGGACATTGTGGTTGTAAAACCACATGCTAGTAGTCTGGCCCCGGTGTGATCAACCAGTTTCTGCGGGAATGTGACGGCGGAACCAGGGCCAGATTAACACTTTGTTGTACCCTGGACAACAATATTCAAGGGCTCCATCATCACGACCCAAGGATCACCATAATATGGTCACATACAGAATATTTTACTGTAATATGCAGTAAATATACTCAATACTTGAATGCCTGACAACACGTAACCCGCCCAGAGTAACCTTTGACCCACCTCGTGTGGACTGACCAATGAGGAGAGGGTCTTAACTTGAGGCCCTCTCTTCATTGGTCAGTCTGCATGAGACTGACTCTCAACTGACGTTCAGTCATAGGCAGCGAAGCGTCTCTGTGCAGTGCAAAAGCCCGGGTGGACAGTTTGTTTAATGTAGGGTGACCATATTTCCATTTCCAAACAAGAGGACAGGGGATCTGTGCCTATGACGTCACACTATGGCAACGCCACACAAACCATGTTGGGACCCATTTTTTGTAAGAACTAAATTAATATCAGATTCTGCCAATTAAAGGGCTCTAAAACTATTCATATGTAAATATTTTGCATATTTAATGCAAAATCTAATTTTTCTGCTTTAGTGCTGCAACAAGGTTTTATTAATAATAAATTATTATACCTTTTGTTTTACTACAGCATCGGTAAGCTTCCTGTGCACAGATTATCAAGGATGCTTGTTTCAGCTGTGAGATTAGACGATAGGATCAATGAAAAAATAAGTTGTCACACACTCCATGGAAACTTTCAGAGAATCCACAAATAGTGGCTTTCAAATGGTTTTGTTACTTTTTGCAAGTTTTTAAAAGAAGCAGATGAGACAGCATGTCTGATAATTTAGTTTTTCATCTGATAATATTAGAACATGTCAGTAATGTCTGAGGGGCTTTTATAAACACCATATAACTAACACTACTGGAGAGGGCATGAATTACACAGAGGCTTCTGGGGAGCCCAGTTATGGGGGTGGGGGGGGTGGGGGGGCATTTTGCATTGGCCCCCAAAATGTCTTGAAACGGCCCTGGGTGTGTGACTGAGTTTTGAAGGTGATCTGAATTGTATCAGATGTATAATTATGACATGTGTATAACTTATTGTTTTTTACTGGTAAAAACGTGTAGTGGAGATAAATCTACCTACATTTGACTTTTCAACACTTTGTTTTGTTTTCTTGTTTTTATTGAACTATTTTCCTGTCCTGTCTGTCTCTCATCTTCCTGCATCTCCTCATAATTCTCCAGAAAATCTGTTGCCTGGATTCTTACCTTTTCACCTCATCAGTTACTTTTGAGCAGATCAAAGGGATCTCCTGACCGAAAAGCGCAGAGCGCGTTTTCGATGCTGCGTGAGGTGAAATCACCACAGCACAGGTGATGAGCTCCGCAGTAGCGCGCTTCAGGCACAAATAAGACAGAAAATAGAGAACATGTGCGGACATGAACGATCGTGTGCTAATTATAGTTTTTTGGTTGCGCCACTTTGAGAATGGAC